GGGGAAAGGAGCACTGCGGACAGAACAGCACGTGTGACCACCGACCAGAGTCTCCCACAGCTGATGAACGCTGTTGTCTGTCTGACCCCAGCCCGCTTCTTCATAAAGCACCTGGATTCCTAGGAGTTTGTCACCAAGCAGCTCTGGCTGAACTGCAGAGTTCCCACTGCTCCGACGTGTGGGGGGAGGCCTGGCCCGGGAACCAAGGGCCTGAGTCGGGGCTGGCTCCCAGATGGCACTCCCACGCCCCCGGCAGACCTGCCCCCATGCTCCTGACCTGAGCTGCTAGGGACAGAGATGTAGACACTCAAGGTCAGGGAAGTCTTGGAGTTGGACACCAAGGAGCACAGTGAGAATAATCATTCCAGGCTGCACTGACCCAGGGGCCACCAGGGGCCGCCAACTGCTCGCTGGGTCCTGAAGCCTCCCTGCCCATCCCGAAGGTGCCTGGGGGGTCTGCCCCGCTTCCGGTGGCAGTTCTGAGGACCTCCTCCCCACCATACTGCTTCCCACCACCCACCAGGTACCTACCCGCCCCAATCCCTCTGCCTACCCAGGGACCCCTCCCCGGACAGGAGCACCCTGGAAGCATGTCCCTTAGAATGATTTTCCCATTTGAGCAATAAACACTTGAAGAAAACTAAATAGCAGCACAGGTCTGTTCCTTCAGAGAATACTTTGGTAATCCAGCAAAGTAATTACAGGTGATACCAGCTTGGTTTGTGTGTGAGGCTGGTGTTCTGGATTTGCCAGTGTGTATGTGTGGCTCCATGTGCCTACAAGAGAAGCTTGGTTAAAAAAAAAAAAGGCTTGGTTTCTATGGGGCTCATAGTTTGTCAGATCAGTAGGTTTTATTCTTGTCTTTGGCCTGAAGTTCAAAGTTCAAGAGAAACTCTTGGGAGTTGGGATTGAGTTTAATTCACCTTTGATTTCCCCGGAGCCTAGGAGAGTGCTGGGCGCTTACTGGGTGCTCCGTCAGTGTCCATCAGTGGAATCAATGACAATACAATATAGTCAAAAGCTATAAGAAGCCGGCCTACGCTGGCGAGGGCTTTTAGCTGTAGGGTGGGAACAGTCAGGCGCTCTACGTGTTGAGGGTCACGTGGGCATCGACCTGTCTAGTTTGTTTTCAGAGGCAGTTCTACCCAGGAGCTGGGAGGTACTGGTCCGCCTCCGGGAGTCATAGAACCTTGGCCTCTGCTAGCTGTTGGCTGCTGCTGCGCACCTTGCTCCCTGCGAAGCACCGTACATAGTTGACGTCACTAAACGCTCACTGAGTGAGACCGGGGCTGATGGCGGATCTCATGTCGGGTGCGTCCTACCCCAAAGCCCAGCTCCTAACCCCACCCGGTAATCTTCCTGCAGCCCATGCCCACGCCGCTCCTGCCCGTGGATGTAAGAACGTTAGCCATGCTCACTGCACTTTGCTGCCTGGCTTTTTGGGTCGCGGGTGTCTCGGGAAGCCTTTTCTGGTGCTGCTTGTCTTTGGTTTGTTCTTCTTGAACGCCTTGTTCACCCAGTTGGAGTCTCCGGGAGGGCTCACCCTGGGCAGAGAGAGGCGGTAGTGGTTTGTTAGTGACCGTCCCGTGTCCCCCCGGCAGGGCCCTGCTCCAGCTGAGGGGGTGTCAGACACACCAGAGCGTGGCTCTGGGCCCGGGAGCGTCAGAGTTCCCCGCGGCCTTTATTTTGTAATCAATGAATATTTGTCTGAGGAACATGCCAACTAGTCAACAGAAGCTCTAACTTTTATATGGTTATATGTCAATGCAATAAAATGTAAATCATGTGAACAAAATGCATACTTTATGCCCAAGCACCAAATTATTAAATGTATGCAAACTCTGCCCTGGCCAGTTTGGCTCCGTGGATAGAGTGTCAGCCTGCAGACTGAGGGGTCTGGGGTTCAATTCTGGTCAAGGGCACATGCTCGGGTTGTGGGTTCCATCCCCAGTAGGGGGCGTGCAGGAGGCAGCCAATCAATGATTCTCTCTCATCATTGATGTTTCTGTCTCTCTCTCCCTCTCCTTTCCGCTTTGAAATCGATCTATAATAATAAAAGAGTAATATGCTAATTAGACCGGATGTCATTCCAGAGGTGTTTCTGGATGAAGCCGGGAAGGGGGGGGCGTGGGTTTGTCATTCCAGAGGTGTTTCTGGATGAAGCCGGGGGGTTGGAGAGATGTCTGGGTCCCAGGTGCCGGAGGGAAGCCGGTGCCAGCAGCTGGGAGAAGGAAGGCCGACTCTTGCATGAATTTTGTGCATCAGGCCTCTAGTAAAAATATATTTTAAAAAATTTATGCAAACTCATTCAAAAAGTTTTATATTGAAATTATACTGGGAGAAGGAATCGGGTCTGTTTTAATGTATTTGCTGTGACGTGATATGGAGGGGCAGCATGAAAAGTAAGGGGCCCTGCTCTCCCAACCCCTGCAGCTGTGGCCAGAGGGAAGCCCAGCCACCACCAGAGCTGCCCAGCGGCAGGGAGGGGTGAGGCTGGGAGGGAGGTGCCCGGTCCACCCTCTGACCTCCTGCTGGTGCCTTGCACTGGCTCACCCACTGCTTTCCAGCCAGTGAGGGAGCCTGGGAGCTTAAAAACATAAAGGTCCCCAGACCCCCCTCGGAACAGCTGCAAAGAGAATCACGGAGCACGTGTGACACGACCCCGACTGCTGACGTGTACCATGAGAAAGGTTTTTCTGGGGACCACCCACAACACAGGAATGTTCGCCTCCTTATCGTGCTGGCAGCAATGAACTGGGTGAAGGGAGGCCCTCAACTCATCGCGTGCAGCGGCCGCTAGGGCTGGGGTGCAGCGCGCTGCCTGCTCTCTCGTGCTGAGCCCTCACCAGTGTCCCTCTGCACTTGAAGGTGCTGCCCAGTGCGCAGAGCAGGGAGCTGAGGAGAATGGCACTGTCGGGGTGAATAGGCCCCTTTCCCATGCCTGGTCCCCACTGAAGAAGACAGAAGAGGGTGGTGGTCTGTAACCACACAGACTGGAAAGGGGTCTCAGGGTCCCCGGGGCGGGGAGTGAGGCGGAGGTGTCCCTTAGCTTTCCCCATCACAGGAGAGAACCCGTCCCAGTCCCAGCGGAGGGGAACTCACGCGGCCTCCGGCTTGGTGCTGGTCTTCTCGGTCGCCAGGGGCGCGGTGCTCTGGGGATTCAAAGAGGCCGGAGGAACTGCAGCCAGAAGGAAAAATGCAGGAGACAGGAGTGAGATGGGGGAGGGGTGCTTAGTCTTTTTATTTATTTGTTTGTTTGGTTGTTTAATTTTTTTGTCACCCATCACTTCACCGGCATGCTGCCCAGCCAATAGGAGGCAGGCCATTTCATAAACAGCACAAAGGCCGGGGAGTTTTCCCATCATGCAAAGCTGCTGTCTGTACAGCATTCTGTAGGTTACAGAGCGTTTCCATCTACATTACCTCATCAGGGCAGGCCTGCCTGTCCCCTCCCTTCCCCTGTTTTTAAGAAAGACACAGTGAAATGATATGACCAAGTTTTAGACAGGACCGAGGAAAGACCAAACCCTTCTCTAACCCCCAAAGTAGATAAGGGGGCCCTAAATTTTAAAACATGAAAAACAAAGCAAGTCTGTCTCCATTTCTATTTTACCTTTTTAATATATATATATATATAGATTTCAGAGAGGAAGGGAGAGAGAGAAATATCACTGATCAGAGAGAATCATTGATTGGCTGCCTTCTGCAAACCCCCCCACTAGGGATGGAGCCCACAACTCGGGCATGTGCCCTTGACTGGAATCAAACCTGGGACCCTTCAGCCCACAGGCCGATGCTCTATCCACTGAGCCAAACTGGCTAGGGCCATTTTACTTTTTGCCAAAGTTTTCCTCTTTTGTCCTGAACTACCTGGGAATTGTGTCTTCCTCGTTTTTTGTCAGTGTGCACCTGGAAATTGACGAGGTGCTCGGTAGTGCTGCCCAGTGGTTAACAGCGTGACATCGTAAATGTTTAGTCTTTTTTGATATTACAATCGGAAGGAAGCGAGCGTGTTCAGAAAGAACAGCGAACTGTCGGTTCTCAAATTCTCGCCTGTGGGACCAAAATCTTATTGGGGCCTTGACCGTGATGCAGTGGAAGGACTGAGGCTGACCCTCCATGCAACATCATAACGCCCCTCACAGAGCAGCCGTGCGAGGGAAAGTGCCAGAAAAACCCACAGGGGCCCGGACCTTCCATCCCTGGCTCCATGAACTGCTTTTCTCATTTTTTTTAAAATAAAAAATATTAATAGTTTTATGACTATGCTCTTAAGTAAGTGCATTGCATGTTTTCAGGGTCTGGGGATATATAAAATATGAAGATTAATAATAATTATGTAACTAAAAATAACATGGACTCTATTTAGATTCCCCTACCTAAAGATCTTTCATTTGGGGGCCTGGTGGATGTCACAAATCTACTTGCAGTTCCTTTGTTGGGGGATTTTCCCAGGGCTTCTTGCAGCACCCCACCCCCTGCCACATGGTCCCCACTGTAGGACTGACAGCGCTGAGCCTGGGGCGTTCCTCCCTGCCCACCCCCCACAGCTGGCCTTGGATGCCACAGCGGCTCAGCCCGGCTGGGGGCTACACAGGGGTCCCGCCTCAGCAGACTGAGTGGAGGGCGGTGCTGTGCACTGTAGGGTGCTCAGCAGCATCTGGCCTCCAGGCATCGCCGTCTCCGGGGTAACCGCCCCCAGCTGAGAACCGTTGGGCTGTCTGCACCTCTGCCCACCCCCAGGGGGCGTGAGGAAGCCCAGGATGGCTCAGGCACCTGAGGATGGCTACCTATAGGCACCGGTGTGACATAAAAATACATGCATTTTATTTCACAGGAAATAGAGAGCATGTGAAACACTGGACCAATTTTCTGACCTTTAGTATCCTTAGATTTTTTCTCATTGCTAATCTGTGCTATGGTTTACCCTAATAATATGGAAGTTTGGCTGCTGGGCCGTAAGGACCCTTCATCCCATCATCTGGGCCCTGTCCCTTTGCCCCACCCTGACCAGCCTCTTCATCCTGAATGTACTCTGCACTTTCCTGCTTTGCACCTGAGCTTCTCGAATAAACAAAACCTGACCTGCTCTTTTCATTCCATCCAATCCATCCCACAGACCAGGATGGTCAATATCCCGCCTGTCAACCCGCCTGTCATCTCCCAGAGGCCTTCCTTCCTCCCCCGAGAGCAGTGATACATCCTCCATGAACACCCACAATAGGTTTAGAACCGAATCATGTATCTTGTATCTTTGAGTTGCTTTCCCGCCACCCCCTCTGCTGGAGGGGAGACTCCCCGAGGCGAGGACGTGAGAACTGCTCCTCTTTGCAGCCCCAAGAATGTGCTTCTCAAACAATCTGCAGCAAAGAGCCCGTTTTTTAAAATCTTATTTACAGTCCACGTGGACTCGTGCTTCGGTGGAACACAATCAAATGGAGGAGGGAAGCCCTTCCTCGCCATGGCTCCATCTTATTGCCACCAGGGGTGGGGAACGTCCACCGAGGGCCGTACACGGCCCGAGAAACCACTGGGTCTGGCCCTGCCAGCGCATTAATTAAATGTTTGACCAAACATGGCAGGCTAATTTTTAAGTCAGAATTTTGAATGGCCTGCGAATGCTGTGATCAATACCCAGATGGCCGTTGGCAGAAAAAGGTTCCCCACCCCACCCCGCTGCACATTTCTAAATGCTTCTCTCCGTTCCCGTGCCCATTTCATCGTGAACTAGTGACAGATAGTTAGGGGACCGGCAGGGTCCACAGACCACCCTTTGAGAAGCACCGTCCTGGACTCAATAGCACTTACCAGGACAGCAGTCCCAGAGGTAAGCGGGCAAGAGAGCCACCTGGAGGGCTTGTAGAAAGGACAGCTGCCCCCCCCCCCTCCCCGCCCGAGTCTGCGACTTAGCAGGTCTGTGGTGGGGCCTGCAAATTCCCGTTGCTGCTGGTTGGAAACCTCACTTGGAGGCTCACTGGGCTACAGAAACGAACAACTATTGCACACACTGCCCTCGTGTGGCTGCCTGCCCTCGGAAGCAACGGTTTGGGCCACCGTGTTGTCCAGCTGGAGGGCTGCAGACAAGAGGAAACCCCGAGAAGCCCTGAGAAGCCAGAGGCCCCTACCTTGGGGCTGTGCCGAGCCCGGCTCCTCCGCAGCTGGCTGAGCAGGCGACGTCGAAGAACATCGAGGCAACGTGTGCGGTGCCCCCGCAGCTGAAGGCCCCGGAGGCGTCTGGGAGGGTGGGGACTCGGGTGGTGATCCAGTCAGCTGTACTTGCTGCTGTGGGGACCCAGGTGACAGGCCAGGTGAGGAGCTGGGCGGCGAGGGCACAGCTGGGAGTGATACAGGTGGCAAGTCAGCTGGAGAACGCGACGATGACGAGCCCAGGGTCGATGCAGGTGACTGCTCAGATGAAGAGGCAGGTGGTGAAGCGGGTGACTCCACAGGCCACTCGTGCGTGGATGCAGGCGTCTGTGCAGGTGGGGACACAGGTAGGCCCTGGCCACCGCTTTCTTGCTCTTTGCGATCGCATTGTGTGGGCAGTTGCGTGGATTCTTCCAGACTGGCCTGCTCCGATTGGAGGCTTGGCTCACTGTGTGCCGGGCACGCGTTGCCAAGGGCGAGTTCTATCTGGCAGTACACTTCCACCCGGGGGAAAATCACCCTCTTGGAGGGAGAATTCAGGTAAGCAGCGTCTAGGAAAAACAAGCGTGGGTCACAGATGGCATTTCTAACCTCCCACATCCGCATGGTGTTCGCAAAAAACGCGTTTCCAAGTTACTGTCATAAACAGGATTATTTCCCACCGGCGGCCTTTCATTACTTACTTGGATTGACATTGAGTATTTGTGGATTAATCCACGTATTCAGTGGATATTTATTGAGCATCTCTGTGCTGCAGGCACTGTGCCTGGCACTGAGGAGGCGGAGACAGAAACAGGTGTGATGGTTCCTCCCTCCGGATGGAGCTTACAGCCCAGGGCGGGGGCAGGCCCTGATCTCAAGTTTTAATCAAGACAAGTGTTAGGCAGGGGAGGAACGTGGCCCTAGCAGAGAGGGACGCAGGGAGGACTTAACTGGGAGGCTTCCCCGAGGGAGGGGCATTTAAGCTGAGATCCGAAGACCGAGTGAGTGGTCCAGGGGATGGTCAGGCAGATGGGAAGGAGAGGTCAGGCAGAGGAAGCAGCATGCACAAAGGTCACAGGCCCGAAGGAGCACCAGACGTGGGGTCCTGAAAGGCAGTGTGGCTGGAGCCTGGAGCGCGGGAGGGGGGGCGGGGGTTGGGGGAGACTGAGGAACAGGGACCAGGTCGCTTGAGGGCTGGTAGGCAGCACTGAGGACCCTTAATTTTTATGGGGACGGTGAAGCCTTCTAGGCAGGGAGGCGCCCCCCTGACTCTGGCTTTGACAAGGTCGCGTGGCTGGGTGTGGGGACTCGCTGACCAGGGCACAGGGGGCCGGGCCGGGGAAACCTGTCGGGTGGCTGTGGAGCTGTGCGGGGCTTGCGCCTGGAAGAAGGTGAAGGAAGTAGAAGTTCTGTTTGGGAGGTAAGAGGGTGGGGATCGGTGAGGGACTGATGGGGGCTGCGGGGGGATAGGTGGCGTGTACAATCGGATGGATGCTGGTGCTGTCTTTGCGGGGGTGGGATAGAGGAGAGCTCAGGTTAGGAGCTTGTTTGGGGACATGCTGAATTTGGGGGCCTTGGAGATGCCCAAGGAGAGACCAGTGGGCAGTGTGCGTGTGGATTTGGATTCTAGAGACGAGGGTTAGAGATACATATGTATCAGGAGCCCATCCAGGTGGGAGGGTTAGAGATACATATGTATTGGGAGCCCACCGGGCGGTCACTGGGGCTGTGGTGGTGGCTGTGCAGGAGACTCCTAGGAGGGAAGGCAGGTGAGAGGAGGCGAAGGGATTGAGGCAGACAAGCAGAGGGGCCCAGGGCAAGTTTCCTAAAACAGGCAAAACTGGGAAGATTCCGAAGCCACTGGGAAGAGCACCCACACACAGCCCAGGAGAAAACATTTACAAATAGTATTCCTGACAAAGGGCGTTTATCTAGAATTCATTAAAGCTCTAAATGAGAAACAAACAGTTCCGTGTTTCAAATGGGCAATGAGCCAGCTGAAAGAGCTCCCACTGGCCAAAGCCGGGACAGTTTGAGTAAAAACTTAGAGTTGAATAATAACCCAGAGAATAAGATACGTGCCCAGGAGTTCACACAAAACAAACAAGACGGCTGCCTAAGTGATGCAGACGAGACCCATCGTCCACGCAGAAGCAGCCCACATGCTTTATGGGGCGTCCTGACCTTAAGGACGCGGAGGAGGGTTCCTCGCCTTTTCCGTGTGCCCTATGCATAGACTTCCTCCCGGAAAGCACAGGGTGGGAAGAGGAGGAAGGGTGACTTCACCAGGAGAACCTGACCGGCACCGCTGCAGCCAGGTGACCCGGTCACAGCATCTGTGCCGTCAGGTGGGCGGCGGGCGCCCTTGGTGGAATGTGCTGGGCGGCACTCTGCCTCTTTGGTCTTCCTTCCTCCAACCCAGGACCCCGTCTACTCATGGGGCAAACACCAGACGGACCCCAACCGAGGGGCAGTCTACGTCTCTGGCCAGGACTAAACGCTGCCCGTCACTAAAGACAGGGAGAGTCTGAGAAACTGTCACAAACAGGGGGAGTCTGAGGGGGCATGACAACGGCACGCGGCGTGCTCTCCTGGATGGGGACCTGGGTCAGAGTGAGGTCATCAGGCAGCAACTCGGGAAGTCTGAGCAGAGTGCAGCCTTGGTTCCCAGGCACACGGTAACACCTACCACAGGGAAACCTGGGTGCGGGATGTACGGAAACCCTGTTCTGTTTTTATATTTTTCCGTAAATCTAAAACCGTTATAAAAATAAAACTTATGAAAGGTCTAGGGGGAAATGGGCAAAAGAGTTGAACAGACACATCAGGGAAGCACACAGCATTTTCCTTTAGCCAATTAAAAGATGCTCAGCCCCAGGAAGAGGCAACTTCAAGCCAGTGAGGCGCCGCTGCACGCCGCTCAGGACAGCTCGGATGGAAAAGGCCTGCCACACCAGTGTCGGTGAACACGGGGTGGGGGTGGGGATCTGGGGCTCTCCTCACAGCCGGAGGGAATGGAGAATGATGCAGCCACTTTGGAGGACTGCGGGATGGTCTCCTAACAAGCTAAATCCGCATTCTGGGAATCTGCCTCAATCTGCACATGTCCAAACGAATTGAACATCGAATCTCAAAGAGATATTTGCACACCCATCCACTGCAGCATTATTTACAATAGCCAAGAGGTAGAAGCAGCCGTATGTCCACTGATGAACAAACGGCTAAATAAAATGAGGTATATACACACGTTGGAATATTCTTCAGCCTTAGAAATGAAGACAGTCCTGTCACACGCTACAACATGGATAAACCTTGAGAACATTGTAAGTGAACTAAAAGGCAAATGCTGTGTGCTTCCCTGATGTGAATGATGTAAAGTGATCAAACCCGTAGAAATAGAAAGAGGAGCGGTGGTTGCCAGGGCCTGGGGGAGGGAGAAATGGGGAGTTTGGGGCCAGTGGGTATAGTTTCAGTTTTGCAAGATAAAAATTTCTGGAGATTTTAGTGGCTATGCTTATGGGATAGATTAAGATTGCCATGATCTGAAGAGGGAGGATTTATTTGTGTCCTCCTCCTATATGAAATGGCTGAACAGAAAAAAAAAAAAAATAAAAATAAAAATAAAGGTCTGAAGAGTTGGAGAGAAGATGGGACCATAAATTAACATCACTTACTTTATAATATTTTACCCCTTTAGAAATAATACATCAAGTCTAGATAGAGATGCTAGAGAAGGTCAAGTTATTTTTGTTGATACCAGTTTGATAACATTTTTTAAAATTGTC